CCCCAAAACCCCAAAACCCCAAAACCCCTATTATATAAGATCTTATTTAAAATCGAAAAATGGAGCCCACACCACCATCCTTGACTTCGTGAGTATCTCTGTTTGCTCTCTACCTTTCGACCCATAAGTATCACCCTGTCAGACTGGGACAGATTCAGAAAGAACTGAATGCGATTTTAAATGAGCGATATCAGGGTATCTTAGAAAATCAAGAAATCAAAGATAAAACTTTCAACGAAAATGAAGACCACATTTTGAAAACTGTCAATGAGCTATTATTAAAGTATGAAGCAAAAGAAGAGGAGAGGAAAATGAAATGAGAATATACCACCCAAACTTGTTCTTCAGAAGAACTCCAAATCCACCATCAATCCACTGAACTCCACACAAAATCCGAAATCTTCCGCAATATAACAGGCTCACTCGCTGCTCTAAACCATTTGACCACCTTAAACCTCTGGCTAGACGACAGTGGCCCCAAAAACTTCATCCAAAAGACCCTTCCTCTTACCCCTCTCTATTCCCTAAACCTTCAAAATTACCCTAAGAACCCTAAAATCACATCTAATCTGCTTCAAATCTCTTTTCCATGCAGCACAAAAACTCTTGAAATTAATGCTATTGCTAATATGAAGCTGTGAAGTATTCAAAGACATCTTCCGAGTATTTTAAGAGTAAGTCCAAGAGTCTGAGAAAGCGTTATTCTAGGCGAGTTTACAATAAACCAATCTCAGCTAAAACGAATTTTCTCAGCTTTTAAGGGTAAGAAGAAGTTGATATTTCAACAATGAGAATTTTTGTTTCAAGGCGTTCCTGATTTTGATAAAGCTTTGAAAAATACATTTATTAGAACACTAGGATTGATTGGTTGGAAAGCTAGAGATACTGAGGGCTGCAAAAGTAAACCAGAAAAGCTTATCGACTTTATGAAATCTATCTCCCAATCAGACCTCAAAAACACACTTGAAGAGGTATCTTTCGGATTCTGTGGCCTCCAAGAAGACCTCGTCTCCCAATCATTTACTCAGAACACCCTCAACCACATCAGATTCCTAGGCTATTTCGATAAAGAAGACTATTCTGACGATTACTAGCCCTCTTCCTTATAATTTTTCAACATACCAAAATCCCCACGGGGTTTTGGGGTTTTGGGGTTTTGGGGTTTTGGGGTTTTGGGG